TCCAAGGTTATTGCACTTATATAGCGACGTGCATTGAGTGTGTTTGTGTGGCTGCTTGTACTAGTCCGGACTGATGTCGATTTATACTGCTAGCTCACTGAGATACCATGCCGCAGTTTAACATGAATACCCCACTCAGACAAAGTATACTGACTCCGAGCCGACCAGTCTTTTTTTCAGCCCTTTAATGCCGAGCGGTAACAACAAGCACAGGGTAACAACAAGCACCTTCTTTTAACGTCTTTTGGTATGACCCGGCCGGGGATCGAACCATGGACCTTCCGCTCTCCGGGAGGACGCTCTACCACTAGACCACGGAGGCGGTCACCTACAATGTGAGTTGGAGACAAAGGAATAGTAGTTGCTGATGTAGTTGACCATCATTCATCTACATTTGGGGGGACACGTGTGGCCCAGTCGTCGAAGGCGCCGCGATTCGTTGTGCAGAGTTGCGTACCTTGGGAACGCCAGAAACCTATGATTGTGGTTTCGAATCGCGGCTCGTCCCGATTATGATTCTAGGTTTGTCAGCACTATACCGTGCTCGTGGGTTTTACCTAAGTGGTAAACGTCTGAGACCTGCATCACTTCGGGCTTTCTTCCCACAATAAGCTGACACGCCGCGATATAACTAGAATACTGTTAAAAGCGGCGTTAAACCAAACTCACTCATTCATCTACACTTGAACAGAACAAGTGACATCATTTGGTACAGAGGATGGCTCCGAGGTTCTTCTGTGAACATGTACTTGTGTCTTGTTTATTAGAGGAGAGATAGGTTTTGTCACAGCGGATTCATTACAGGGTGAAGGAGTGACCTTGACAATCAAGCAGCTTCGGCTTGGAACACGATCTTTCTACTCTGATTCATTGGACAATTGCTGCTTCCTTATATTTTGGACAGCCTTTACAAGCAGCACTAAAAATGAGTGAGTTTTACGCCGCTTTTAGTAACACTCCAGCAATATCACGTCTGAGGACACCAGAAATGGACTTCACATATTGTATCCATGTGGGAAAACGAACCCTGGTCTTCGGCGTGACGAGCGAACAAAGCTACACCACCGCCCCAAATAGCACTGTGGTCGCCTAAACCCAGAAAATCATGTTTCTATGTAACTGCTCCAGCAGTTGTTCAGCAGTAACTACTCGAGTTGTTCAGTGTCTGCAACCACAATGAAACACTGCAGGTACACGCCCCCTCTTTATAGGCAGGCTGAGGAGGCACTACGGGTAGCTCAATGGAGGCAGAAGCATTGCCATGGTGTCTCAAGGGTTGCCGTGGTCGCCGAATGGAGGCACGGCGGTCGCCACAGTCAACGTTCAATGCACGCTGTTGATCGCCCAAAGGAGGCACAAGGGACAAGGGAGGCAGAAGCATCGCCCAGATTGACGGGAAAATATTTCAGCAGAACGCATCTGTTACCTGGCGACCATTGGGCGACCACTGTGCCTTCATTCTGCAACAGCGGCAATGCTTGTGCCTCCCTTCTGCCTCCTTTGAGCCACCTTTGAGCAACCAATCTCCTCGGCGACCTTTGTGCGACTGTTTTGAACGTGTTCAAAAATTTACGGCGACCATGGCGTTCATGGCGTTTTCTGAACCTCCTGTGTACTACCTTGGAACGACCTAGGCAACCATTCTGCCTCCTTTGAGCCTCCAACGACGACCTGGCAAATTTTATGGTCGCACACGGGAGGCACAAAGGTCGCCATCCCGTGTAAAGGCCCCATTACTTTTTCCATAGAGATGAAACGTGATCACACTGTCGACATCTGTAGCACCTTATAGCTGATGGAGTGGGTGAGTATGGTTTATACGCCGCTTTTAGCAATATTTCAGCTCTATCACGGCGGGGGACACTAGAAATGAGCTATAGCTGGTGCAAGAAAACGACGCTCCCGGAATGATTGAAGGTACATTTTGACCCGTTCGGAAAGGTGAGGGTTGCAAATGTCGGCAATACAGAAGTGGTAATCTATTTTTCCCTCCCACGAAGTGAACGCTCAGCATCAATGACCCTTAGACCTTTAAGTTGATCAACTACACACCCTATGTACACATCATAGTCAACACTGTCAACTACATCCTCAAGACTCAAGACTCTTCGGAATACTGCTCATGACACGGATGTCTCAAATTGTTGTTTTGGACAAAATCTCCTTAAACTGTTCCACAGATTCCCAGTGAATCAACAAGAAGACTTTTTCTAGTTTTGTCACGAATTCAACATCACCAATACATTTCTGAATGTAACGAGCTGATGAAAGTGGGCCCAAGTTTTTAAGGCTAAGTCTGATGCAAATAAATCAATAGGTTTCACTGACACGTCAGAAACAATATTCAAATCATTCTGACACACGCCATGGTGTTTGCACCTTTTGGAGACCATAGTTATGTACTTCTGGACACATTCTGCATCGGTAGGGTTGCTCAAATGTGTTTAGGATACCCATAAAGATCCGGGCTAGAACAGGTCTTCAGCAACCCATGCTTGCCATCAAAAGGCGACTATGCTTGTCGTAAGAGGCGACTAACGGGATCGGGTGGTCAGACTCGCTGACTTGGTTGATGCATGTCATTGTATCCCAATTGTCAATGCGCATGATGTCAATCACTGGATTTTTTGGTCCAGACTCGATTATTTACCGACAGCCGTCATATAGCTGGAATATTGCTGAGTGCGACGTTAAACAACAAACCAAAAAACCCCAAAACATCATCCCAATGCCCGTCAATAAAACAACTAGCTTAAACAGACTTGCCACGTGGGGCGGGAATTCCGTGCATCACGTCACAAAGCAAAGAAAAATATGGCAGAATTGGCCAATATTGTTAGCTGACCGTAATCTAAATTTACCTTGTTAATGTTATTAATCTATCTATTAATTCCGAACGACACAGAGTTGTGCTAATATAAGGCCCCATATGAGCCAAACAGCAACAGCAACTATACACGCGTCTAACCTTACTTACAGCCGAAGCTGGTCGCCATCTGACGAGACAAGAAGACAAGAGTTGTCTCCCTTTAGCTTTAGTCCACTGATGAAACGTCTTTGTAAGAGTGACACTACAGCAACTTCAGTCTCTTTCAATGGCGGTCATAGTTGCGGTTCTTGTGTCCAGCACATTATTTCTTTCTTTTTTAGGTTGATATATATATTGTTATACATATTACGCAATTAGTCTTACATTAAATATCACGTTTTGTGTAACAGTGACTGTCGTCCAGTTATTTCGCCATGTTGATCAAGCTGCTGTTTCTCTACTTAATGTTTCAAAGCTTTTTTAAAACGTTAAAGTGTCCATTGTGTTGTCTTTCGCTTACTTTGCAGAGTTCGGTTTTATTGTCCAGTTAAACGAAATACTTTGATGTAATTATAGGCCTTAGAACAAGAGAGTATATATAGTAAGTGAGTGAGTTGGGTTTAACGCCGCTTTTAACATTATTCCAGTTATATCACGGCGTGTCAACTTAATGTGGGAGGAAAGCCCCAAGTGATGCAGGTCTCAGACGTTTACCACTTCGGTGAAACCCACGAGCACGGGTATGGTGCTGACAAACCTAGAAACATAATCGGGGCGAACCGGGATTCGAACCCACAATCATAGGTTTCTGGCGTGGCCAAGGGACGCAACTCTTCACAGCAACGCGGCGCCTTAGACGACTGGGCCACCCGTGCCCCCAGAGAGTATACAAGTAACCATGGTATTACTTTGACGGCGCCTGTGAAGGTAGGTGCAAAAAACAGAATCGGACAATGAGGTGATATGGTGATTAACGTCGCGTTAAACATTTATAACGATTTTAGCATTTATAGCGACGTGCCTGCCCGCGTGTGTCTGCTTGTACTAGTCCGAAATAATACCGTTTTTATATGTAGTGCTAACCACCCACTGAGATGCCATGCCGCAGTTGATACCCCACTAAGACGCAGCGTACAGACTCGGATACGACCAGTCCTTGTTTTATCCCCTTAATTCCGAGCTCCAGGCAGGGCAACAAAAAGTACCATCATTTAAAGTCATTTGGATCAACCGCTTGGGATCTAACCCCCGACCTCCCTCTCTCCGGACACACTGTCCACTTGGCCAGTCGGACAATGAAAGGATGTCACTGTGCATGAGGCGGCCCGTGATGCTGGCACTTTGTAGGGTAGATCCATCTAAAGTGTGCCTACCTGTCTAGGGCTCTATTCTAAACATAGCCCTATTGTATCCATATTGACACGGGGAGGTCGGGTAGCGTAGTGTTAGTTCGTCACACCGCAGATCCGGGTTCGATTCCCGACCTTGGTATAATGTGTGAAGCCCATTACTGGTGTCCACCGCCGTGATATTGCTGTAATGTTGCTAAAAGTAGGGTAAAACCATACTCACTCACTCACTCCTTATTGGCACTGTTTGGCCTATTTGACCTCATGTGAACTAAAAGTTGAAATGAGCTTATATCGTGGTGCGCCGACCGTTCGCCGTAATATCATACTATTAGCATATTCTATCAATAATGTTCTGACGATTGTGGCATCTTAAAACCCTTGAAAAGAAGCTACGGTAGCGAATGGGTTAATAGTATTTATCGTTAGAGAATGGGATGCAATATACTACATTGTCAAGCATATGGAAATTTTGAACCTACATTGTGAGTGAGTGAAAATAGTTTTACGCCGCTTTCAGCAACATTGCACAATTACTTCTGTCCTCCAGTGGTTAACAGGTGAGCTATGATGACTACCGCGTAGTCTCCAAACCACGAAGTAAGGTGACGCTGTGTCATATACATTGTATCTAGTCCCGATAGTTTGAGTAAATATGAGACGTACCTATATGTATCGTGCAGCACATATACTGAACATAACAAGTTAGGGTTCCCATGACATGATAAACATGGTGAGAGGGGTATAGTGTGCAGAATGGGATAGAAAATATTTTTCGGTTTCATGCTTGAAGACATGCAGTAGTTGATAGAGTGCGGCATTAAACAAACAACACATACATCTTTTTTATCTGATTAAAGGAGCCACGCAGTTTTATTTTTTCACGATTGTTTTGAGGACACCCAGCGAACCTGAAGCAAAATATATGCCAATATATGTATCTGAAACATTTGTTTTCTCAAGGCATCCCCTGGCTCCCTGGCATAACACACAAACGCCTGTCACTACGTATTGCAATACCCAGTTACCCTGATTAGTGTGTGTGTGTGTGTGTGTGTGTGTGTGTGTATGTATGTATGTGTGTGTGTGTGTGTGTGTGTGTGTTTGTGTGTGTGTGTGTGTGTTTTTGTGTGTGTGTGTGTTTTTGTGTGTGTGTGTGTGTGTGTGTGTGTGTGTGTGTGTGTGTGTGTGTGTGTGTGTGTGTGTGTGCTTGCTTTCGTTCGTGCGTTTGGTAACAATTACCATCTTCTGGTATGACGCGATGGGGGATCGAACAACCGACTGTGTGTGCGTGCGTGCGTGCGTGCGTGCGTGCGTGCGTGCGTGCGTGTGTGCTAACAACACGGACCATATTTGACTATCTATGACGCGGCCGGGGCTGAAACTAAGGACCTTCGTGCGTGTGTGCGCGTGCATGCGTGCGTGCGTGCGTGTGTGTGGTTACATCAATTACCATCTTTAGGTAGGTATGTGTGTGTGCGCGCGCGTGCGTGCAGTATATTCCCTGCATTAGTAACTTCATATAATTTTCACCGCCGTTTGTCTTTTACGCCAAATGGTACATGCGGATACCATGAAGCCATATATCCTACTAACAAAGTTAAGGACAACTGATTCTTTCATATTACTAAAACATTCAAACATTTCAAATTTCTCAGTGAAGCAAGTTTCAAAGGGATCTTATCAAATCCATGTCAACAATCTGATCCCCTCTTACGTTCTGTCTATACCGGATTTATATTATTCGAGAAGAAACAGTAGCTTGCAATTAATCCCAATTACTAGAGTTTGGTTCATTCTGGTTCTGCTACTCACGAGCATGCCATAATAAACAAAACTATGAGCAAACATATTTGGTTGGTATGATGCAAGGGTCAATTGTTCATGGTATTACATGATATTGTTTTTAATATTCTTGTAATTGTTCAGTATGGCTTCATGGTATCCAATATTACGATGAGTACACTAAATACACGTATTGGTAATACATATTTTTATTGCCTTTAAATAAATCACTTTTATTCTTCCGAGTCCGTTACTCTGTGCACCGGGATCTTAATTTGCCCGGATCCTGTCATAATACACCTGCATCTTCCTAGCATCCTCAGCAGCATCTCTCTTGTAGAAGAACCCCTTCCTCGTGTTGGCCGTGAACCAGGCCGATGACCAGCACAGGCTGCGGAGGTCATTCGCAAGCTGACCGGTCACCTCTCTGCTCTTGGCCAGCTCCATGTGATAATCCAACCATTTCTGTTTGTACAGCATAGCATCTCTCTTCTTGCCCATCCTCTCGTTGGCTGTGCTCCAGGCTGCAGCCCAGGCCATCTGCTCGTAAAAGAAGCAGAAGTCGTGGCTGAAGATGCCGGAGTTGCAGAGACTGCTGTAGTGGCGCCGGACAGTGTCCTCGTCTCGCTGGGCGTCGCTCCGGTACCGCTTCATGTGGTTCGCAGCATGCCATGATGCATAGCCCGCTATCTCCTTCATGTCCTCGGCTGTAGCCGCCGGGATGCTGGTCAGGGGAGAACACTTGGCATCTAGGTAGACAAATACAGGATGAAGTACTGACACCTTCAGAAAATAAACAGACATACTTTAAACTTTGACAGGCAGTGGAACAACACTTGTGAATACTTCATGTATATTTGGATTGCAAGCATGTTAAAGAGTTTTAGGCCAAAGTAGAATGTGTTCTGAATGTAATGCTCTTTATTACTAGGGTAAAACTCTGCCAAATCACATCATACAGGCATGCAAAACATATATATGTTTTAGGGGTGACTATTGGTCTGGAAATCACTATTGCGATAACTATCGATATTGCAAGCAACTATTGCGCTAAATATCGATAGTTTTCAGTGTATCATTTTAGATGGATTTTACGGTTGAATTAAACCTTGGAACTGAAGTTTCCTTTGAATGTGATAATCATAACAACAAATAAAAAGTAAATTTTGAAATATGACTGTTTTCTTTTTTCTTTACACTATTAATTTTAGAAAAAGAAACTTCCACATCACCATGCAAATTACTACCACTTATGATCAAAAGAAAAACAAATTTGAACAGCATTGCGTGTATTTGATTGATATGGTAAAAACAATCGAAACTATCGATATTCCTAAATGAAATCGATACTTTTGATCGGAAACTGATTTAACAATCGATTTTTTTACTTTAACTTCTTACCAATAGCAATATATCGATATTTCGATTTATCGCGACACCCTTAATATGTTGTAAGTATTAAGAAAAACAAATTGTCACTTGAAAACTTTATGAAGACTTATATCATCAACTAAGTGTGAAGGTATATCCTTACAGCACATTTGTTGGAATTGTTCAGCAGAGAAACATATTAACTAGACAGTTCATAAGCCAAATTTGTCCATTTTCTGTCAAACTGTCTCGTTTTTGTGTGCAACTGATTTCTCTCTCTGAAGTATGGCAAAAAGCCTGCTATTTTCACACTTGTTAACATTATATTGTACACCTGTATCCTGTCTAACCAACTAAATCTTGCTGCCTTCTGTATAGTTATGTAACCTACACCTAATAAGTATTATATTAAGTGTCATGTTACTTTATGGGAAAATATGTAACATCATATACAGAATTGAAAACAGAATATTAAAAACAAAACAAAAACACTTGTAAAAAAAGAGGTTTTCTCAGATACGATGTGACTTCAATTACTGGGTGATTGGGGGCACGGGTGGCCCAGCCGTCTAAGGCGCCGCAATTCGCTGTGCAGAGTTGCGTCCCTTGGCCACGCCAGAAAACCTATGATTGTGGGTTCGAATCCCGGTTCGCCCCGTTTATGTTTCTAGGTTTGTCAGAACCATACCCGTGCTCGTGGGTTTCACCGAAGTGGTAAACTTCTGAGACTTGCATCACTTGGGGCTTTCCTCCCACATTAAGCTGACACGCCGCGATATGCCTTGTATACTGTTACAAGCGGCGTTAACCCAAACCCACTCACTACTGGGTGATTTATATCACATTTCATATGATCCAATATTTAGCTTTCAAAACACTAGCACTTGGAGGGTTAAGCAAAATGGTCCTTGTATTCAATACCACATTCACAGCGATATTGACTTTCATGACAATAACAATAATGTCTACTTCTCCAATATATCCTCCAATCAAAACGAAAATCTCCCTTCACGGAACGTTTTGATTGGATGAATATACCGTGACATGTGGTGACACGGAAATGTTTCCCTGTAAATACCACCATCAGTGTAAACAAAGAGTCAGGGTCAAATCAGCTTCAGCATTCCACGTTTAACTACCCTGTACCTACAGACAGTCTGAAATGTCAGCAAGATATGCCTCATAGGAACCATATGGACGACACAGCAATAGGGCACACTAACCTCAAAGATCAATTACGGCCCCTATATATATATTAATGCCATATATGAATCCTACGCAATGCATCAAAGCACACCATACCGCTTGTGTCTTGGTTGGGCACGAACGCCTTCATCTTGGTTTCTGAAACGGTATATATATATAGATACTAGGTATTGGTATACTGTTACAAGTCTTGTGTTTTTGCAAATGATACCTATATTAACCATAAGCATATATTTATATAAGGTACGTGACCCAGTCTGTACACTACGAGTTACGTTATGTCAGAGAATGTCACGGTATCAAACATATCTGTCACATTAATGGATTTATTTCGTATCAATTGGATACTTTTTTCTAAAACTCACCTGCTGAAATGTCAACTCTTCGCAACAGCGAGCAGTACACATCTGACAGGGCACGGTTACGTCCCCTACACTGATGTACGTGAACAAACGCTGATACAAGTCTATATTTAGATTGTATTGAAGTTTTGTGTTCAGTAAACATCGCTCCACCCTTTAAGTGTGTCATGACGGGGTCTCGCTTGTTTGGTTGGCGAGCGGAGTGGGAAGAAGTTAGACGGGTCTGAGGTAGATTAGGAGTGAAAAGACTTATACTTAGAAGGCTGTATGGCTGTATGTATAGTTCATTGTGTTTCCTGTTTTACGCCGCACTGAATCATAGTGTAGCGATATGACTAATAATGAATATAATAACTAATAATTAATTATGAACAAAGACATACATATGTATAATATATGTATACTTGTATCTTACAGGGACCATGATATGCACATATATGAGTTCATATGGAACACAATTGTTCTAAGGCAAGCATTGCATGCAAATAAGATAATACAGTAAACTACGGTTATAACGAACACGCTTATAACGAACTGACGGATAAAACGAACTTACTTTTTTGGTCCCGACTATTTGCTGTTGTTATACTGTATAAAATTATATGCTTATAACGAACTACGGTTATAACGAACTAAAATTAGTAGTCCCTTTGAGTTCGTTATAACAGTACACTACTGTATATGAAATTTAAATAAGTAATTTTATTCGTCCATGAGGTGAAATGAATTTACATTTGAAGGACTAGCAAAAAGTGCTGCACATTTGACAGATAATAATTATATATTATCTCTACAGTCTAGGTCTCGATGAAGCTTTCAAAACGTTTTATAGTCGGTATGTGGAAGACCTTTCCAAATTTGACGCATCGGAAACAAAAATGATTCCCTATTTTGACTTACCATATCTTCCCCTGCTGCTTCAGCTAGGTGACTTGCTTTTGCATATGTTTGTGACGGTTGCCACTGGTTGGGCAGGATACGCTCACCTTTTCGCTAACGCCTGGTGTCATCACTGTTTGAAAGTGATGAGAAAATGAATGACAGTTTAATATAATATACAATATTCCAGTTATATCACGGCGTGTCAGCTTAATGTGGGAGGAAAGCCCGAGGTGATGCAGGTCTGACGTTTATCACTTTGGTGAAACCCACGAGCACTGGCATGGTGCTGACAAACATAGAACAAAAATCGGGGCGAACCGGGATTCATAGTCTTGCTCAATTGCGGCGTCTGATACGACCGGACCCACCCCTGCCCCTGCAAAGTGAGTAAATTATTAGTCATTAGTATTGTGAGACTCATACTGTTGTTACGACCATGGCTGTAACACAGATACTGGGACACACATATGGTATAAATGGACATAGAGGTAAGTCAAGCAAACTAGTGAAAGGAGGGAACATGTCCAAACCATTGCCATCTATTCATGCGAGGACTTTCTATGTATTTTATTGTTACAGCTGCTGGTGGGGCTACTCGGAGTTCCGAATGATAGCATAAAAAGGGACAGCTAAATGATGATGAAAAAATATTGTGTTGGCAAAGGTTCATCCTCAGGTCAAGCAAAGTCACTGCTGCCTGACGTGTCGCCTTCCTTGATCTGTGTGCTAAGTTTTGGCGGTTTATACCAGATATGTAGACTATTTATTATCGATATTAAGATACCGTTATTTTTCGTAATGATATTTCAGAAATAATAAAAACTAATACAAATAAATCAATTCACTTTAATAGTCTTATTTAATAATATGAGCAACAAAGTTGTACCAAACTCGTACAGCTCGTATCGAGATCGTTGTGCTCGTATGCAACTCTTAATAGACTGAAATTAGACTCCTATTTGACTCCTATTGGGGCTCGTAACACACTCGTGGCGTACTCGTCTTTTCCCGAGTCCTAACCGGGTAAGGCTCGGGAGAGCTCGGCAACCACCTCGGCAAAGCGTGAGAGCTGCTTTAATAACATGTACTAGAACAAATATGGCACATAATATGGGATGCAATTATGATTATGATTAATTGATAAGAAAGCAAGTTGAACGCAGTCCAGTGCGTGTGTAGGAGTGTGGCAGCTTGAACTCACATATAGTGCTCGGAGTCAGTACACTGTGCCTGAATGGGGTTTTCAAGTTAACCTTCGGCATGGTATCTCAGTGGGCCAGCACTATAAAATCGGCATTCGTCCGGACTAGTACAAACAGTCATCCACGCAAGCACACACGCATATCCATGTACGTCGCTATATAAGTGCAATTATATTGAGCGCCGGCCGTTCAATTACACTAACTGGAATAAGACATGCCGGCCGTTCAATTACACTGACTGGAATCAGACACACCGGCCGTTCAATTACACTGACTGGAATCAGACACGCCGGCCGTTTAATTACACTGACTGGAATCAGACACGCCGGCCGTTCAATTACACTGACTGGAATCAGACACGCCGGCCTTTCAATTACACTGACTGGAATCAGACACACCGGCCGTTCTATTACACTGACTGGAATCAGACACGCCGGCCGTTCTATTACACTGACTGGAATCAGACACACCGGCCGTTCTATTACACTGACTGGAATCAGACACGCCGGCCGTTCAATTACACTGACTGGAATCAGACACGCCGGCCGTTTAATTACACTGACTGGAATCAGACACGCCGGCCTTTCAATTACACTGACTGGAATCAGACACGCCGGCCGTCCAATTGCACTGACTGGAAATCATCGAAGGATCCAACTGCGTGCAGTAATATAGTACACATGGTATGATGCATACGGTAAACTTCTTTAAAACTACATTTGTGAAAGTGGTAAGTCATAGCTATTATACGAGGGGAGTTCAATAGGTTCTGCAACTTGGTCATTTGTGTTTACACAAACAATGTCAACTTGTGGCAGGTGTGACACTAGTCATAACATCAGGTTGACGCGTGTCATAACAAGTTCCAGACACAACAATAAGTTAGATGTGATGGCTTCATTCACCTAAGGGTGGTCACAATCATGTATTCTCTTAAACCTGGGCAACGCGCTGTAATAAAGTTCGTTACATGCTCCGGTTCACAAGTCGAGAATTGCACAGGCCGCCATTGGTGAATGTGGATTCGAACAGTTAAATCCCCCACCCTCCAGCCCAGTATTAGCCCCGAATGACTATTTCCTTTTCCGGCAAATGAAATCTGCCTTACGTGGAAGACGCTTCCAGGATGACGAGGACATAAAGGCTGCCACAGAGGCGTGGTAAGAGGAACAATCTGCGGATTTCTATAAAAGTGGTATTCAATGCTTGGAGGACAAATGAGGAATTGAGGTGAATGGAGGTTATATTGAAAAATAAAAGTGCAAAAGATATTCTGCGACATGGTCTTATATTGAAGTTTCTGAACGAATTGAACGCCCCTCGTATAAGTATCTTTCACAATGGCCTAGAAATGACAAATGTCATATTATCAAATCAACATTTCTCAGTGGACATGGCGTCAAGTGCGACCCTACTACAGTTACTGAAAGTATTGCCGTTCCTGGTCATCATGGTCAATTACGACATGACTTTGCAACTCGCCTTGTCCGCATTGGCTCGGCTCCGTCAAGGAGTGATTGGTCTAGCGATGCTTACTCCAAGTTGTCTCTATCAGCATTCATACTCGCATAATAAAGAAACGCAACACCAGCCTTATACTCGCATAGTTTCACTTACTCTCAGCCCATCTATCAATACAGGACAGGATCAGACCGGCCAGACTCGTCACTACATGGGGAAAACTTAAAACGGTCGGGATTCGACTCGATCGATTGCAAACCGCGCTCTCCTCTCCTAATGTTGAAGGTATCATTTTATAGTGTTCGGGCCTGGCCTGTCTTTGTCACATGTCACAATACCTCATTTTCATTCGTTAAAAGTTAGATCTGACCATGAACTCATGTGTGTCGTAATCGGAAAAATACAGAAGCCTACGTGCCAGCTTGCTCATCTCTCTATTGATTTTGTGACTCGCTCCGGATGCTCCAAATGAAATACATGTATACCTTGAATTTCTCTGCTTGTTTCATTAACTAATGGACGATAACCTGGAACCAATCCAATGATAAATATGAAATGTCCAGAATACCTTGTGATAAATGTGAACTGTCTTTTATCTATTGATTCCTTTCGAACTAAAATTCTCTGTCACAGACTTAATCTAATGCAATTCCTCATTGCAGCTATAACGGTTTTATTGGTTACCATTTTCTAATATTTTGGAGATGCATTTTAACCTTTTAACGCTATTGTTCACCTGTTCTTGCAAATAAGACTGTTGATACCAAAGGTGAGCATATCCTGCCCTACTATATCCACTTAATACTGACACTGAGTAGTTCAGGCCCGTGACCTGGGAACTCACCTCACTGCCGTGTTTCTGGGTCGAGTGCGTTATAGTGTCAGATTGACCTGTTGATGCTTGGCCTGTACACACGGGGGATCATCGCTACACGGGTAAGCTGTACCGCATTTACACATTGCCACTGAATGCATGTCTGAATCTGTTATTAATATGAATTTAAAATTAAACAAGACTTACAAGTAAGTTGAAGTTTGATTGAAATTATATGAAACTAATCACAAGTATATTGATCACGTGGGAGATAGCGAAAGCGAGGTCAGAGTCAGACTTTAAAGGGGCACTGATCTAAAGCAATTCCCCGGGACTGGTTGTTTCCTTTGTTATTGTTTTTCCCCAATGAGTACCCGGATGATACGCAACGCAACTGAGCGTGACCAGAGACTTGGCTACCGTCTGCAAGGACAGCTAAATAAACTTGGAGGCAATATTTGTTTTACGTATTTTTGAACACTGATTGGTTAACTGTGATCTTTAAAGATTTCGACAAAGGGCGCATGTTAATTAATTTCTTCAGCCTAAACAAACAGACAAAAAGAACGGCGGAGCTCATCGGATGTCGTCATTTGGAAATACCCCAGATGGTTATAGTTTAATAAAAAAAAGTATCCATGCAGTGAAAGCATTTTCGGATTTCGGATTGCGTCGATAAACGATTACTACTTCCTTGTTGTCATCCACGTTTTCTGGTATAAACCAAAACTTGTGTATTTGTCGTCATTCACTTGATGCTCAGTTAATGAATTTATTACAGGTACAATTAGTGGTAGCACCAC